AATTTTATTGAGTTATTTCGACTATTATTTTTTTAGAGTGCAGGGGACCTACGCCCCTACGTCATAAATGACAGTAATGAGGATTAATGCCCCCACAAAAGCGCACTAATATAGCACATCGACATGCTTTTGATCACGGGGCCTCACAGTTACGAGGCTATTGCTTTGCCACTGATCCATGACTGTACGCAGCGGAGGCTAGGGTAGGCTGATGCTAGAAAAATTCCATCAGAGTCACACAGGAGTAGATAATTGACTAAGAGATGTGCTATATACCAGGATGAATGCTGAAATAGCAGAGACAGTTGAAAGATGTGAGATTTGCAGCACACATAGAGCCAGTAAACAGAAAAAGCCTATGCATGGTCATGACATACCTGAGAGATCATGGCAAAAAGTTGGAAGTGGTCTGTTTGAGTTAGCCGGGTCTATTTATCTCATCCTGGAGACTTTTATTCCAACTACTTTGAAATCATCAAGCTGAAAAGTACAAGTACCCCCGTGATAGCAGTATTCTTGCAGCTGTTTGCACGACATGGCATACCTGAAGAGATGATATCAGATATTGGACCACAATATGCCAGTGCAGAATTCCAGCAATTTTGTGTCGAGTATGGATTAAGACACACCACATCTTCTCCAATATACCAACAGTCAATGGGATAGCTGAAAGTCTCTTGAAGAAGGTGAAGACGTACATTTAGCTCTTCTGGCCTATTAGAAACATACCAGGAGACGGGCTGCCATCGCCTGTAGAGATGCTAATGGGCAGAAGGACCAACACCAAGCTACCCACTTCGAGCAGACTATTTGGACCACAACCTGTGCATCAAGAGCTCCTGCTGGAAAGGAAGAAGGAAATGCAAGAATGTCAAAAGCAGTTCTATGGCAGGGGATCCAAAGATCTGACAACCTGGTGAGTGAGTTTTCTTCTAAAATGGTAAGGTGTGGAAACCAGCGGTCGTCATCAAGAAAGACAAATCACGTCGCTCATACATCATCGAAAGTGAAGGAGGGAGTCGTTATCGTCGAAAAGACGTTATCTTCAGAAGCGACCACGACGTGAACAAAGCGTAATTGTCAATGACTACGGAGACAGCGAAATCGCAGCAGAAGCTATAAACAATTCGCGAGACGTGCATCGCCAAGAAGCCCCATTGAGAGTACACCATCTCATGAGCGTGAACGTTGCTGTCCTTTGAGAGTACGAAGACGTCCTGTTATGTTAGATTTGTAAATGCATGTAGTAAATTACTGTACAAGTTAAAAGGGGCAGACTAATCTCCTTTTGTGCTGTTGGAGTGTTGGGTAGTCAACCCCTTCACTCATATTAGTTTTTTATAGTTATATATGCATGTAGCTAGTGTCTTCAACTATTATTATTATTTTTTTGTTTTATCTTAAGTTTTATTGGTCAGAAAACACAATGATTTACAAAATATGCGTTACATCGTTTTGCAGAAAAATAATGAATAATCATATTATTTCACACTTACAATCTTGTGGTTTCACATTTCAGTGTAACATTAAAAAACATAGCATGGTACTTCTGTATACCCCGCCCGCACAGACGATACGACCATCAGACCGACACTTAATGGAAAGAGAGAGGCCAAGAAGTAAAGAACATTTATAGCCCCTCCCTCCCCCGTCGGTCCGTAGTCGGCCCGGCTGCACCGCCGGGGCATAACGCATGATATAATCTGACATTTTCTATTACATAATAGAGCATAGTACATCAAATACACCCCAACATGAATAAAACAAAAAAATGTAACAAAAACAAATGAATTTATCCCTTGAAACGTTTTGCACATAATATAAAACATTTATCATGATGCAATGCGGAAATACTTGTTGATGTTTTGCCACTTCGCAATATGCTTCTCAAATTTGTTTTTCTTTTTTGCAATATCTTCTTCAGTGGATTTATAAGACAAAATATAATTATTAAATTGTTTCAAACTAGGTATACTCTCTTGATATTTACAACGTAGAATGAATTGTTTACCAAGTAAAGTAATACAATTAAAAGCTGAGGGGGGTTGACTTTTTGGTTCGGTAATTCCAAATAAAATAAGTTTGCCTGTAAGAAAATAATCTGGATTAAAATCAGTCACTCTTCTGCGTAGCGCATTCCAAAAGGCTGCAATCTTAGGACATGTACAAAATAAATTATCCAAAAAGAAGAAGAAGGAAAACTTTACTATCCAAGAGGCAGAACATTCCTCTGGTACAGTTGGAGTAACAGACATTCTACCCTGTTACTCATTTACATCTTAAGTGTTGTAAAAAAAGGAAAACACCATTACTTTTGAAGTTGTAACGTTTGACAGAGGATCGTGTTGAAAAGCGAACAATCAAGTTCATTAAAAAGGAAGCAAATACTGAAAGAACTCAACTGAAACGAACACTCGAGTATACAAATGGGAACTGCACTATTTTTGAACTTTGAACTTTGAAATTTATTTGATTTCCAGGTACATGTATAAACAAAATAGAAATGACAACACAGAGCATATAACATTAAGAGTTACAAGACAATGAAAATGCCACCAGCGGACGCTTGAGGATTTTCTATTAAAAAGAATGTCCATTCTGTCATGAGGTTCTCCACATCCACTGGTGTTACATATAAATAGATTTAAGAAGTAACGGTAAAATAACATAACATAATTCAAGTTCATCCATCAAACATAATAACTTAGAGAATGATTGCATGTATGTTGAACTGTGTGGCATGAAGAAAATAACAATCATGTACGGCAAGTAACGGTAAAATAAAATAACATAATTCAAGTTCATTCATCAAGCATAATAACTTATAGATAATTGCATGTATGTTGAACTTTGTGGCATGAAGAAAATAACAATCATGTACGGCATGTAACGGTTAAATAAAATAACATAATTTAAGTTCATTCATCAAGCATAATAACTTATAGAATGATTGCATGTATGTTGAACTTTGTGGCATGAAGAAAATAACAATCATGTACGGCATGTAACGGTAAAATAAAATAACATAATTCAAGTTCATTCATCAAGCATAATAACTTTATAGAACGATTGCATGTATGTTGAACTTTGTGGCATGAATAAATTAACAATCATGTACGGCATGTAACAGTAAAATAAAATAACATAATTCAAGTTCATTCATCAAGCATAATAAATTTGATATAGAATTATTGCATGTATGTTGAACTTTGTGGCATGAAGAAAATTACAATCATGTACGACATGTAACAGTAAAATAAAATAACATAATTCAAGTTCATTCATCAAGCATAATAACTTTAATATAGAATGATTGCATGTATGTTGAAATTTGTGAGGCATGAAGAAAATAACAACCATGTACGGCATGTAACGGCAAAATAAAATAACATATTTCAAGTTCATTCATCAAGCACAATAACTTATAGGATGATTGCATGTATGTTGAACTTTGTGGCATGAAGAAAATAACAATCGTGTACGGCATTTAACAGGAAAAATAAAATAACATAACTTTATTTCTGAGGTAAACCTCATTTAATCTCAAACCTGGCTGGATTTGAATAGTGACTTCACATTGTATCGGGGCTGATAGTTTAACAAAAATATGTATGTATTCTTTGTATTAATTTGATGAAAAGGGGGATGTAGTGATATGCATATATATATCTCATTAGTCCTAAGCAAACAGCGCCACCTTGTGGTGATATGTCACATAGAAAACAACACGAGCACAACGATGGATGCTATACAATCGACCGACTACAAGTAGGTCCATGGCTATACCGTGCGAGTCTCACGTACTGATAAGTATGTATCAAGTAATAAAGTTATATTTGAGCTTAACTAGATTGTCAAGCATGATTATTTTTAGATCTATTAGGAATAAATCATTGTCAAAATCTTTCAATAAATTGGGATAAAAATGATTATACCACCTTTATGACCAACAGTGTATGAAAAATTAATGCATGAAATCTAGTTTAGTAATTTAATGTACACTCTTAACTAACATTAAAATACAAATGTATTTATAACTGATAATAAATTATATGAAACCATTCTGTAAATTTGAAAAGCATTATATCGTCCTACATTCAGTGCTAAAAAAAAACAGACACTAAACAAACCTCCTCTTGTCATTTTATCTTATTGGGAATCGATAATACAAGATTGTTTGAACATGTATTTAAAGGTGTTCACATAGCTTGTCATTCTCAATGATCTGTCAAGCTGATTCCATGCTATTATTGAATAATAATAATAATAATAATACTCAGTTTTTATAAAGCGCTTATTAGAATCACTAAGCGCTTCCAAACTTGGAGATTATTACCCCGGCTTTAGCTGTGCTACCATTGCGGCGCTCTAGCATTTCAAGGAAGAAACAAGGGGGCTATGTTTAAAGTATTCTGTTTTATACTTTGGCACAGAAAGTACACCTTCAACTGCCTGCCTCGTATTTTGCTGATGAATGTCACTTACTTTAATTAAACTTTCTTGTAAATAGGATGGCGCCAAATGATGTCTGCATTTGTACATCATACTAACACGCTGAAATTCAAAACGTTTCTCAATTCGCATCCGTTTCAGATTGCTAATCAATTCACTGGATGGAGTCTCGTATGTTGTTTGAAATTATTCTAGCATAGTTTTTTGAAATTTTTTGAGTTTATCTGTTTGTTCCCGATACCGATTTGACCACACAGAGGAACAATAATCAAAGTGAGGCAATACCAGTGCATTATACAGCAACTTTAAAGATGTTATTGGTAAATAGTCCTTGGCTCGTTTTACTACACTGATATTTCTTTGCGTTACTTTTGTTACTTTGTCAACGTGCTTGGACCAATTCAATATTATTCATCAATTAATATACCAAGACATTTGACGACGTTAATTCTTTTCAATACCTTTCCATTCATAGAAACGTTGAAGGTTGTTATTTTATTCAAATTTGCACGCGAAGCTATGACCATGACGCAAGTTTTTGTTCTGTGTTTATTACAAGGCGGTTTTTGTCTGTTACCCAGTACATCTTGTCTTTGTATTCTGTTGTGTTTTTCTTTAGAGTGCTCAGGGACATGTTTTATTACTATGTGTTATGCGTTATACAAGAACGGTTAATTATTATTATTTATTATTAATCCATACATTAATCCTTGTAATGCGAAATAAAGTTTTTGTTTAACCTCAGCTACAATACTTCCACTTAGAGTTAAAGTGGTATCATCTGCATGCCTACATAATCTCACAATGTAACAGGTTTTGTTCAACATAGAAGCAATAACATCAACCTGTACACTTCCAAATGAGTTTATATATGTAAAACAAAATATAAGGGACCAGCTGTAGGCCAATAGGCAGTTATTAGGCCTACTTCTTCTTCCCCAGTCCGGCCCTAAGGGCTAGAAATATACCCGTTAATGCGTATACCGGCGTGTACAGCAGGATTTTAAACCATTTTGAAAAAGTACCAGTTTTCTTTAAAATGACCCAAAATTGACAGTTTCTAACCCCTTATTGCGGCACCACGCGGACCGCGTCCAATCTATAAAAATAAAAAAACACCTTCTTTGTACGCGTTTTCTTGGCCACGCATGCTTAAAGTATTGCCTGAGACCCTCGGGCTACCCGTCTCTACGGACAATAAATTATGAAAATTGCGAGATAACACTTGCATAGTGAGTTCGAATATGAATTCCTATGTACCACACATGAATGTTAATAACTGATTACTTAGGTTGTTAACATGTGAACCTCCTGGATGTACATCGTCCGCGATTAATTGCGCACTTGACATGCTCCAAGAGTCCATGAAAGCTATGTTTTCGGCAATATCTCGTCGTATAATGTATTCCATACGTCTGGCCAGCCAATCAGAGTGATACAGACGTTGCTTTTCGCTAATATGTTCGCGCGTGTTCGCACCCTTGAAGACCACGAGCGTGGACGGGCTGCGCTCCCGCAGACGCGCAACGGCCGCCATGATTGTTCGCATTCGTTGCGCGAAAAACCACTCCGGTTGGTGGGTGAAATGGGACCAAAGTGAGATTACAACCACCGAATTTTCATCACCAGCAATGTTGTCAACTTCGTTCGCTATGTAATGGATGTCCTTCACTGTGGCCCATTCGTTCCTCCCTATCGGGTACGCATGGAAACGAAACATCATACTGATGTTGAAGACCTGGTCTAACACCCGCGTTGGACCGACGTGCCATTGTGGTTCTGGACCAGGTGGCGTCTTCTTTAATCCTGGTCCAAGTCGCTCCACGTAGAACTCGAAGAGCTGGCGGATCGTCGAATCTCCCAAGAAATACAGCTTCTTCCCCGAGACACAATTTCGCATTTCGTCGAGCGGGAAATTGAGAATTCTGCAGGATGGATTGTACCAAATGTCGTTGAAATAGTAGCCAGAGGTGAGGAGGTTTCCAATATTGCACTCATTTGTACAGATGGGAAGATTTATAACTTTTTCGGTCGCATTCTCTGATGCCGATTTTGGTTCAGATGAATCTGGATATATGTGAACAAATTTATAGAAAGAAACTTTTGTTAATATTTAGATTTCAACAAGTAGACCAAGATTGGTTCTAATTTTTGTGTATGCTTTATATTCTGGGTAAACGCTCTTTTCATTTGTATATTTTATATAGGGTGTTTCTACATACATGTAATATGACCAGTTGGGTACATGCTGAACTCTTTTCTGTCTGTATTTGTTCACTTTCGATGTAAATTGTACGTATTTTGTCTTGTCTATTTTTGTTTTTGTTTGGTAATGTTTAATAAAAATTGCCTACATTGTAATAAGATTGTATGAGGTCAACTTAAGAGTGCAATATGGAGCTGGTGGTTATATTTTGTCCGTCCCCCCCCCCCCCATCAGTTCCAAGTACAAGTACAGGCGAATAAACATGGAAAGAAAAAAAGAAAAAAAAGATTGGTTCTTATATCGGCACAGGATCTTGATTGTTCAATACTTTCTAGGATGTGATTTTTCCTTTAAAAAAAGTGCAAACTAAGTACATTGCAAGACATGTCGATACATAGGGCGTTTGGCCAACTTGGTTTCAGTTTGTCAAATCAAGAAGTTTTAAGAGATGGATTCCTATCTAGCTCATTCCCTTTGTACCATCTTCGATGCCGCCAGGAGAAAATATGTCAGGCATGTGCTTGATTGGACCTTCCTTGCAGATACGTAGGCAACAGATTCCTGCCTAGCTGCAAACTATCGGGCCACTTTCAAAGGGAAATATGCTTTCGTAATGTTAATTACTTTTCGCTACCACTCGTCTGATAATACGAGCAGTGCACAGTGCTTACCTTTACAGGAGGCAAGTGAAAGAGAATAGAGCAAAATTTCCTGAAATATTAATCAAAATTACTCGACTGGGCATGTGTGGGCACTAATCTGACATATAACATCATAAAGAACTGTGGACGAACAAATTCACTTTTTATTTTCGTGAGCCGCAAGTAATCGGAAAAGTGTCAAATTGCAGGTTTTAGGACCGTAAAGTTTTACTATTTTTCACAAATTAAAGCTGTCATCATACAATGTAAAACAATTTCTTGACACAATAAGACTGTTGTATTCATATTTTATCATCTGTTAGATTTTCCCCTTGTTAGTTCAAATAAAAAGTGAAATATTAAGGATATTTCTTTGTGACAATAATCACTACTCAAGCTTTCCAATGATATTGGCTATTGGCGGCTTCGAAACTCGGACATCAAAGATAACAGCACACCTGTAAACAGGGGCGGCGATCCAAGGGGGACGGGGGGACACGTCCTCTCTCATTTTTGTAGGGGGGCATCGTCCCCCCCCCCCCTGGAAAATTTGAAAAAGTGCAAAACAAATTGTATAGCATATACTGAATAATGACCGCAACACATTTTTAGGCTCCGGAAGGCCCAAGAGTGCAGCGTTTAGACTAATAAAATTGCAAAAAGAATCTCGCTCGGTCGTGTTGCCAGTTGGGTCTCCAGCTCTTAAAACTCCTTGGTCAAATCAGGGTGTTGATTCTTTTGTTTGTGCTTGCTCAACGAAGCAGATTTCGCCATATTGTGCCCAACTCAAGCGGGATTGGCTGAACTCTCCTAATAAATGACCGTGTCAAATCACTCTGAGCAACAGAGCAAGTTAATTTACCTTAACTCGCTGTGATGAGCAAGAACCTCCCAGAGCCTGCTCGGACCAGATCTAAAAATTTTATATTTTAAACCGATTCGATGTGCAATTTTTATCTGAACCGATAGCAATCAATATCAGGATTATACGGACTACGGTAGTAAGTATCTATTCTAAATCAAATCTGCACTTACTTCTTATCGTTCCTCGGACTTCGACCTGAATTTTCGTAGGAAGATCACTTTTTGGACTGTTGATTGAAGGAAAAAACACATTCCTCAAACTTAAACTGATGTAGAATTGAAGTTTGTCACGTAATTCGTATATCTGTCAGCTTCTTTTCTCGTCATTTCCCCTCCCAAATTCAATTTCTCCATCTTTCTCTTTTGCTCTCTTCCATTCTTCTCAAATTGATAGGAGGGGCATGCGCTTCCGGCACATAGAAAAGCCCTGGGGAGTGTTTCACAAAGACTAAGATCGACTTTAAGTTGAACTTAACTATGACATGCCTTTGATGCCACTAGTTCCTTTAACCGTTCCTGGCATTGGTTTCTCATGGGTCGTACAAATCGTGGTCACAAATCTACATAATTAACCTTTTTTGATAGTTCATTATTGAAGAAAAAAATAATTGAGAGACCAATGGTGAGAGCGACCAGTGACATGAACATCCTGCCATAGTTAAGTCTAACTTAGAGTTGATCTTAGCCTTTGTGAAACACCCCCCTGGTCATCATCAGGGGAGGCGATTTCTTTTCATGACCGGGGGGGGGGGACGGACGAAATGCGAGGGACGAGGGAGCACAGTGAACGAGAGGGGCGAAGGTGACGGAAGTGACTACCCCCTCACAGGTAATACCAACGGAATACAGATTTTCTACAATATTTACTCGTACACTTTGAAGGATATTATGCGAGGGAGCGTAGCGACAGATCCAGAAGATATTTGCATTTTTATATAGTCTAAACGCTGCACCCTTGGACACTCCAGAGCCTAAAATGGTGATGCAGTCTTTGGTCAGTATCTGCTATACATTTTTTGTTTGCACTTTTTCAAATTTTCCCGGGAAGAGGGGGGGGGGGAGGATGATCCCCCTCAACAAATTGAGGGGGCGTGTCCCCGTCCCGCCTGGGATCGCCGCCACTGGTCATCATCACATTTATGGAAAAGTAGCATTAATCACGGTAAGTTCAATATGTCTTATGATATGTCAGTGGCGGATCCCGGAAAATACTGATGACCCTTTGTTTTGTTTTCTACCCGTCACATAATTGTTTAACTTGTGACCCCTCTTTGCCCGCCTCCACCCCGGCCATGCCAGAGATTCCATGATCCACCGATGTATATACTGACTACTCAATATATTCACATCTTCATACCTACTCGCTCGCTTATTTATCAACTAGGCCTTTCCTATCCTTGCTATCAGCTACTTTTACTCTTAAAGATTGATTTTGACTGTAGGCCTACTTACATCAAGGTTAACTTGTCATGTGATGATAAAAGCGACGCATCATACCAGCCTGCCGTGCTGGAGTCACATCGATGTTCCCGCCAGTCGCTGCACTTAAGTTTCGGTGATTTGGGCATGTAGCAAAACCAGGGAGATCCCGTAGCCTTATCGGTAAAGTTGCATAGGTCAAGCTGTAAAATATGAGTCAAGGTAATATGTATGATTCGGTTTATACTATAATTGATTATTCTCTTTCATTTTTGTTTGTTTTATCTTCCTTTATTTCAGGAATGCGCCTGGAGCATTTGATTTCATGTGGATTTGGCGACTTACAATGTTATTGTTATTTATTATTAATAGTGTCACGTATGACAGACATGAGCGCTATACAAGAACCCACTACTATTATTATTATTATTATTATCATTATCATCATCATTATTACTACTTGGCACTTCCACCTAAAATGATGAAGTCTGAACGATTTACACATTTTATACAAAGCGTGAGAAATTGCTTTATTTTAAAAGTACAATGTCAGAGCCTGAGATTAGCAGAAGTGTAACTATGGTGACGAAAATTCGTCAGTGCCAGGATACTACCTACTATATGTAATCTTTACATTCCTGGCATCCAATCATATTTTGTTTAAAGGTTCAATCCAGTCTGTATCATTATACAAATTGTTAAATGCATTTACAATTATAATTGTTGTTATAAATAATGAAGAATAAAAGGCCCCTTACTGGATGTCCACAAAGTACAATGTTACAGAAAGTCTCTTCGTGCGTACCGTCTGCGGACACAAACTTGCCGCGGTAAACGAACCGCGCTGGAGCTGCGTCGCGGAAACGGCGAATCACATCGACCGCTTCACTGGGATGAACCAAGGTCACCTTGACGTTGACCTTCCCTGGCCATTTCAGAGTAAAGAGAGCCCTGTAAGTCCCATCTCCTAGATCGATCACTTCTCCATCCGTTGCAGAACTCGCAGAGAACGTTGAATTCTTGGTGAATATCTTAGCCCGGAAGTAATCACCGCCATATTGTTTCAGCCGTCCACGTCCATCGCGGGCCTGGATTAGTAACTCGAGCCGATCATGTAGGAAGTATACCGTTTTTGCATTACTGATTTTATTGTCGCTGTACTTGGCACTTGTCAGATTCTCCACCGTTGTCCATCGTACGTTGGAGGGCGGACTTTGTTGTATCGCATCTTTGAGATGACTCACTGGGCATGGACCTTTCCCCGCGGGGCAGACAACACCTGTTTCATTAACCGATGGATCGTAGAGTACTGGTTGTAAGCACGGTCTATATACATCTATGTTTGCGATTCCAGTAGCCTGAAACAAATTAATATGAATCTGTACATGAACACTCATATTGGCCCCTATTCATTAACTCATAGCCTGCCATGAGGCTGCATGCACGCTACCTATTGAGTGCCATGTGCGTGCGTGCACACTTTCGTAGTAGCGGTTATTGTTCATGCTCATTGGGCTGTGCTGTGTGTTTTGCACTCGCCATTCATAGAACCATCGCGTTAATCAGATTATCTCCAAAACAACCTGGCACAATGGGGATTAGCCCTGTGGCACGATAAGAGTTAAAGAAAATGATAGGCCTTATTGTTATCAACTACAAAACTGTTTCTATTAAATATGTTTTTTTTCAATCCCTATGAAATCCTCCAAGGTCAACTAGCGCAAAAAAAAAAACGCATTTAGTTCGTTAATGAATAATAATTGACAAATTTGAGCTTTTGAAGAAGAAAAAAAAAAATCAGAATTTTTTAATTTTCACTCTAGAAAATATGCAATCATACATGCACCTCAAACGAAATTATTGCAAATATGTTTCTATTCAATCCCTATATGGAAAAAAATATATACCGTCATCAATAACGAAGAAAATGCAAGTTCATGAAATTTTCTGTATAGAACAAATTGGAAGGAAGCTCACAAGATACGTCGCAATTAATGTTGCCAATTTGTTTGGTAATAAACGCAATCGAAATGACGTTTTTTGTGAAACAAGAATTAGAAATATGAACTGGGAAGAATGAACTTGCCTGTATGAAAGAGTGCACGGAATTACAAGATCCCCGTCCACAATCGAGCCATAATCCGCATGTGATAAAACAAACGATAACAAGATTGAACAGCAGGAACTTTTTTTTTGGAGACATCGCACCTAATAAACGATAAAATTGAATAGGACAACACTACAATTTCAGTTCTCGGATATCACTGGATTTCAAGAAAAAAATATTTCTTTTTTTATAAACATGAGCACACTGGATGTCGAGAAATGTCCTTGCCTGTCAGTTGAGAAAGGACTCTAGTATTAAGAAAACTACGGGTTAAAGAATAATTTATTAATTATAATTGTGATAAAGTTATGATAAAACACCGATTATTCTCGGTTTCGTTTTTTCTGGTACGCACTGTATAGTGAGAAATAAAATGAAGAAAATTATTTTTCCAAACAATTTGATACCATATTTATCTCTTTATGACTATTAATAACAAGGTGAGAAGCCATTCAAGATAAATGTCCGAGCGCGCGAGCTCTTGTAATACATAGCATATATGGGCAAAAACATGCCTATCAAAATGCATTGTAGCTCTTTAGGATGCAAGGTGACCCATTTTTTGTCTTCATATTTTGATAGAGTATGAATCGGAGATATGATTTCATGTCTCATTTGACCCTCAATTAACTCATGACATCATCATAATGGCCTCCAAATTCAAAATTTCAATTTGCATATTATGACGTCAGCATATTTTTGGAAAATTGATTGTATCTCTGTAAATATTGATCGATTCTCTTCGAAATTTTGATATGTTCTAGCTGATATAATTTTCTACAAATGTAATAGACACGATATTTCATTTTGACAAAAGCATCATGGCGTATTTTTGCGATTAAAGGAGGCATGTCAATTGTTCACATTTTGCGTGTATTCTCTATGGGACATGACTTTTTCTCAAAACTGGATTCTACATTCCCGTTTTGTGCGAGCAATATCTCAGTCGTTTTAGCCTTGTTTTCTCTGAGCATCAAGTATGTTGTAGCTGAGGCAATAATCTATCACGAATGTGTACTTTATTTTTTCAATCAGATTTCGTGATAATGCTCATATTTCACTTGCAAAATGGGATTTGAGAATTCCATTTTCCGTTTACGTGTAATCGCTGAGGGAAATGTTTTGGTATATCGGTAATACCCCCTTCACATACACGGATTTTTCTTACGAGTCCTTACGGATCGCCAACTCGTAGTCAATCGCAAGCATCCGTAAATAACTCGCTGGTATCCGTAAATAACTCGTCACAACTCGCAACAACTCGTAGACACTCTTAAGGATCCTTGAAAGGAGAGGCAAATTTTTTGACATGTCAAAAATCTTCTTACGATCGTCCACGGATTGATTTGTCCGTAAATAGCTCGTAAATAGCTCGTAACAATCCGTAACCATTCGTAAACCGCTCGCAAGAACACGTTACCATCCGCAAACTGCTCGCAGGAATCCGTAAATGACTCTTAACAGATTTGTGTAATGATTCGTTACGGTTAGTTTACGATTTGCTTACAGATTATTTACGGATTATTACGAGTGCTTACGTGTTGTTTACGATTTTATTCGGGTCATTTTACGGTGGCTTTACGGATTGTTACGGGTTATTACGAGCAATTTACATGTAGTTACGAGTACTTTACGAATAGATACGTATACTTTAAGTATGCTTACGAAATGTTTACGATTTGTGGAAAGGTATAAAAGCTGCAAATTCGAACACTTCATTTTCAGTTGTTATTTTTTTGGCTAATATTCGTAAGGACTCGTAAATAATCGTAACTTACTCGGAACTATTCGTAACAACACGTAAACAGGTCGTAACTAACACGTTAGTTGCTCGTAGTTATCCGTGACAACTCGTAACAAATCGTGGACTGTTGCCGTAAATACATCGTAATAACTCGTAATAATCCGTAATAAACCGTAAACAGCTCGTAATAACTCTTAAACCGGTCGTAAAAGTGGCCAAATCGTAGGGATCCGTGAAAGATCCATGAATTTGTGCAATCCGTAAGGACTCGTAAGAAAAATCTGTGTATGTGAAGGGGGTATAACGCACTTGACTTCCGACCTCGAGTACCCTGGTTCGAGTCCAGGCGTCTCCAACAATTTTTTTCTTCACTTTTTTTCTTTTTGACCTTTCACTGTACCATCTCCTTTGATTATTAAATCACATAAAATCGCAAATAATGTATAACAATCCTATTTACTTTATTATTACCCTGTTTTCACTTGATCCATTACTTTTTGCGTGTAATCCCTATGGGAGATGATTTTTTCTCAAATCTGGATTCTACATTCCTGTCGTTTGCGAGCAATATCGCCGTTATTTCCGCTTGGATTTTGTTGATTTTAGAGTATGTTGTAGCTGGGACTATATGCTATTTAAATCACCCCACAATTTTTTCATTAAGATGTCAGGATCACACTCATGATCATGATCATCATCATTATCATAATGATGATAATCATCCTCATCATCATCATCATGACCTTATCATCATGATCATCATCATCATGATTATCATTATCGTCATCATAACAATCATGATCATGATCAAGTAGTTCATTTCTCAATACTTTGTTTCATATTCATTAGGCCTACTTATTTTGATATTTGTTTGCATTAAATTTGATCATGATAATGTATCATCATGATAAGTTCTCAATATTTTGTTCATCAGTTCAGCTAATCAGTTTAGTTCAGTTCATCAGTTTATCCGTTTAGCTCATCAATTCAATTCATTTCACATCAGTTCAATCTATCAGTTCATCCGTATTTCATTTATCAATTTATATCTTATTACATCATTTTACATTAACATCCTTTTATTGGGTAATTGAATTGAAGATGAGCATGATCATGAGAATTGAAGACAGACCACCTAATTCGTCCTCATGACGATTTAAATTTCTAGTATAAGTTTTATATTTTCCCCCTAAGAATCTTATTTCTTCACACCAGCATCTAAGTTACATTGATAGTAATATGCTTTTGTGTGGATGCACTATTAAATATAGAGTTTCTTTTCCCAGTTAAATCATTAAAAATTTGAATTTTGATTAACTATTTATATAAAAGTCAATAATTATGAAT